ATCTGTTCATCATTTAAAGCGATCACGTCTCTTCAGAAGACTGTTTAAACCACTCGGTTCATACGGATTTCATTTGTGTTTCAAAGATGAACAAACTTTTTATGGGTTTGCAATTACATTAGGGTGAGTTAATGATGAACTGTCTCTTTAACAGGCCTATATATCATTTAGTGGCCCCGTTTACACATGGTAACAACATCCGTCTGTGGCGATCTTCAGTTCAGTCGAGACGTCTTATAAATGGAGGCGTAAATGGGGTTCAAATTGTTTTGTGATCTGCTCACTCAAACCACATCTGAACGAAGTCAAATGCGAAGGGTTTTAAACTCTGAGGATTTCATGCTCCTTAATCTGACCTGATTTGGAAAAGCCATCAGATACACACGTTTGTGTTAAGGTGAAAATGAAAACATTAAAACGTCTGTCTCAACTGACCACTTCTGATCAGATCACCCAAGATGAACATTAATAACCAGGTGTGCACAGTGTCACTTGGCAAAAACAAAGTAAACTCACCCTGGATTTTACTACTTTGCCTCCATCCTCTCCCTCAGATTCAGAGGCAGCTCTGAACTGCAAAGTACCCGTATTAATGTAGAATCCACCAAGCTTAGTGGTCAGTGAGGCTGGAACAAGCTCATCATACTGACAGGAAGAAAACACAAAGATTTACACCGTTTGTTTTCTGCATTTCTGAGGTTATGGCAAAGTTCTATGATGGTAAAATGACTCCAAAACCACACACATTTCAAATCAATCCATAAGGTAAATCTAAATATATTCATCACAGACTTTAATATGAATGGGAAGAAAACCCTTAAGTTCAGAGAGCAATGAGAGCGAGTTGGCAAACAGCATGTTAAATGCCAATCGATCATCTCCATAGTGATGTCTGTCTGTTGCCATGGCAAGTGCCCACTCACAGCTTCCGAGTTGTCTATGAAGGGGTCACTCTCATCGTAGCCGAAGCCAATGTCAATCAAATCCTGCATCCGGTCTTTCCGCCTCTTTTTCCCTGCGTTACCCTGTAAGGACGTCAGCGGTAGCGGCAACGTGACATTTGAGTGCCCACACATCTGAAAATGCAACGTAAAATCATAGAACAATACTTACGTATTTGCTTTCAAGCTTTTTGGCCAGCGCCTCGACCTCCAGACGTTCTCTCTCAGCATTGTTAAAGGGATCGTTCGGGTCCAGAGAAGACTTAGAATCTGGTGGATTCTTCTTGGCCTGGGGAGGGAAACATGAAATCACTCCAGTAAGGCTAGTTGGGGCATTTAATGTTTCCAGTCCGAATTGGTGGAACACAACGAGTACAACACATTCTGTATCAATATTATTCTGGGACATTCAAACTTTCAATTCATTCAAACTTAAAGGGACAGTCCACTTAAAAATGAAAAACCAGTTTCAGTTCCCACTGACATCCATTGTATTTTTTGTCCATACAATGAAGTCAATGAGAACCGAAACCGAAGCCGTGTTTGGTTATTATCAACAATCTTCAGAATATCTTCTTTTGTGTCCCACAGAAGAAAGAAAGCCATACAGGTTTGAAACGACATGAAGGCGAGTAAATGATGACAGAATTTTTTTATATTTTTGAGTGGAAGCAATGACACCAAGACCGATAGATATAAAGTTGTAATTAATAATCATTCTAATTCTATGAGAATAGGGAAGTCCACACACCACAACTATAACAATATATGATACAGAGACAATATCAATGGAATCACTTTTAAAAACATTAAAGACAATGACAGCCAATCAGAATCCAGACGACTTTTAAAT